CCATCCTTTTCTCGGACTGGGATCTGTTCATATACGTTCTTGGCAGATGATCCAGAAGTGGTTTGCCATTGCCTTCTTCTGTGTGTGAATGGGATGCCACGGAGAAACCGGGGAAGCCCCCGGAGGAAAACTCCGTGTTGCCTAGACCACGGCCTTGCCCAACACAAGTTATAAATTCGGGCACCGCCGGGAATCGAACCCGATTTGTCTTTTTTGTCTGTGGATTAACTTCTTCTTCGGAAAGTAATTGTTGACAGAACAGCACTCAAAGGCCCGTAACTTTATAGGCAAAGCGATCAATAATTTACATGTGCATGAGGAAATATAAAAAGTACAACAGTTGAAGGAAACAAAGATCACGGAAAACAATAGACAAACACTTTTCCACACATTCTTTAATAAATAAGTAGTTTCTGTCATTCTGTACGGGGTCCAAGAACTTTCCGTGTGTCAACCGCTGATTGGGCACTGTTAGACTTTTTTTTTGAAAAAATGTTTTTATTAAGTACTTTACGTTTGGACGGGTTATTTTCAGACATTGGTATATAATAAACGTACTCCAGCGCCAAGGCATTGTTTAACCAGCGTTCGCCATTCTCCGTTTTATAATAAAAATTGAAACAACTTTTTCTATAAGGTTGTAGCCCAGTAAGTGCTTTGAAACTTAACGCTAGGTGATTAGTGTCTTATACTTACAGATTTTTTTTGCAACTTTGCCACGAATTCTGATTCCTTTTCCACAAATATTTCTAAAAAGTTATCCGCTCTCGGAAGATCGTGTTACAGACACTTGAGCATCGCGATGCGTCATTGTTGTCTGCCGGTGCGCGCTGCGTTGACACTCGGATGTTCTGAACTGACGGTCGCAGGCAGAAGCCACGAACCCCCGGCACGGATCGATAATTCGCGCACACCTGCGCCAGGCCCAAAGGACAATGAGTTTTGATCGGGTTTTCCGTGAGACGGAAATGCTTCATCAACAAGAATTTATTGTCGAAAAATATGAACAAAATAATAGAATACGTGATGGATTTCCTTGTATTGTAGTTTTAACAAAATGGCGGAATTTGTAATAATGGCCAACTCATGATAAAATGACTAGTTTGAAGTGGCGGTGGAATGTTTTCTTTGACGAAAATTGAAGAAAAAAAAGTCACAGATTCTCATTTACGCTTACGATTAACGATTATCGAGTTTGAAAAACGTTCTGTGAGCAATTTTTAAATCCGTAGTTTTTCGCTTTTACGTTCCTTGTCGCACTAAATATCTTATACCAGGAAGTCTGAGCTATTAAACCGCTGGAGCGTCCTTGAACGACTGTTGTAGGTAAATAGCCAGCCTGCTGTGAAAACAATAGACGGCAGGTGTGAGGCAGAGCTTCTGGAGACGTGTACTTGATATACGAGTAACCAATAAGCTTATAAGTGCACACATCCCACTCCTAGGAAATTCAACTCAACGACGCTAAAAAGTTTTCAAATGGGACAGGAAATTGAAAACTTTAATTCTGTCACATAGACCACTTTTCTGCGTGAAGGTACGTTCGTACGTAACCTTAATTAATGTTTCCGTACAGCCATGTGCATGGACGAGGAAAAAAAAACTTGTATTTGAGAGTAACCAGGTTCGAAACTCGCCCAGATGTTTCTGGTGAATACCGGGAAACTACGTCTTGAAATATTTCACTACAGCTTCCTTCCTAATCCCTTCTATAATTTATCCATCTCAGTCGTGCCTGATTAATCTCTGCAGTTGATATATAGTCATCAAAGTGGTAATGAACCAGTAAGGGAAGGTTAATTAATTAGGATATGTGAGCTTGTTGTAAAAATTCTGGCGCCATTAACCTCAGGCTTGTTTGGGGTTAAATTACCTTTGCGTGGACGATGTCTCGCGCAAGTCTGGCAGGGTGATGACGTCATCACAGCTGGCTGGCGAATCTACGCCCGTTTACTTCCGTCAGCAGAAGGTCAACCCAGTGTCCATTTCTGATGTTGGATTTGAACTATAATTGTAATTTGTCGACAAGTTTGAGGGAACTCCTCAAAATGTAATTAAAATCTGTTCAGCGGTTACGGAGTCGGTATGGACAGACAGACTGACATGGCGAAACTCGTAGTCGCAATTTAACAACTTACATTTGCGAACGTTCTTAAGTAAAATAGTTTCAACTTCTTTTGAAACTCGTTTGTTTTGCGTAACGTTCTTAAACATGACGATCAATAGTAGTAAAACTTTAAAAAAAATCATTAAACTCAATACGACATGACTTTTTTTTAGCGGTTTAGCGTTATCTCTACTTGTTTGCGCTTTTAGTACACGATCAAAACACCTGAACTTCTGTTACTGCTTGTAGAATGCTTCTGTTAAGTTATATTTAACTCCGAAAACGAACGCTGTGATGTCAGGTTTTTTACGTAGCACGATTTTCAGATTCCAGTAATAATTTATCTGTTGACAGCCATGAAGGGAGTTTTTGACGATCCGTTGTTTACAAGTAGAAGACGTAACATAACAGTTTTACTGTGCATGTGTCTTCCATATTTATCCAGGTGGCGGGATATTTTGTTTTAAACCACCTGTATTGTCGCTTTGCGAGTAGCTTACGTGGTACGTGATGTGGCGAGAAGTAGAGCCAGACCGGTGGTACATCCATTAGTAGAACAGTCTTCGTGTCGGATGGCTGCTGATCATTAATTGAAAACAGGATTGTATCCTTATGACTTAAGCCACGCGAGCAAACTGTGAATGTGAATTTGTTTGTTCGTTCGGCTCGAGTTATAAGGCGTACACGCCGTCAGCTAACCTAACTTTCCGAAGAAATTATACGGTAAATAATCCTTTGCTCCTTTGTTTGTTTTTTTCGTAGACTTTTCTTGTTATCTGACATCAAAGTTCAACAATGACACGACAAAAAAGAATATTTGTTACACTGAGCGTTACATTGTCAATAATTGACAATGTAACGCTGATGCTTAACCACGGCAAGCACCAGACGCTGCTAAACGTATTTCACAGATAACAGGAAGAGTCCGTTTGTGGTAGATTGTTTTAAATAAACGTGAATTGATATCAGATTTAGGGGGTAAAGGCTTACTTATAACTTCTATGATTTTGACTCACGTAGTCAAAACATGCTTTTTACCGGAAGTGATAAACATTAATAGTATTAAGATGGCTGTCTTTTTGGATTGTTGCGCCGTGTAATATGGAAGAAATTTTACGAACGTTTCATGCTCGGCTGCTCTCGAGAACCTGAAAATCTCACATTCACAGTATTTTGTGACAAAATGCTGTATATATATTTGTTATGCTTTCGTTGAACAAAGTGAACGCATGTAGGTAAGGTCGTTTCGTTCTGTCCATATGTTGCGACTACTAAACAGCTGGACGGATTTTGATTAAATTTAAATTTTACAGAAAAGTTATTATACGAGGTGCGATCGGAAAGTTTCTAGACTGCGCGTATAAAAACCCGTACACTTATCTCAGGTATTAAATTCATCCATCACCCTCGAAGTAGTTCCCCTGGGAGTGAACACAACGATCCCAGATGGTGCTTGACAGGCTGACAAAGAAAGATTTCCAGGGATGCTTCCAGGCTTGGCAGCGGCGCTGGGATCGTTGTGTTCACTCCCAGGGGAACTACTTCGAGGGTGATGGATGAATTTAATACCTGAGATAAGTGTACGGGTTTTTATACGCGCAGTCTTGAAACTTTCCGATCGCACCTCGTATGAATTTACATGAAGCTAAGACACAACTTCATTGATGTTCTTAAATATTTCTATTTATATTAATTTAATCTGCTACTAGGCACTGCGGATGTACCGGATACATATTCAAATGAGGTATGATGTGGGGGTAAAACCACTTTCATGGTCAACAGGTTGTTTTACGTAACTTTCAAATGAGCCTTTTTTTAACTTTATAATTATGTTAATACAGTTTTAAACTTCTGTTTCGATTTAATTACATTTATTTTTAGATCAGGAAGACAGCAAAGTTTCGTTCTGTTGGCAAGTGATCAACAAATTAGGATTTTCCTAAATAGTGAACTTGGTCATGCTAATTATCTGTTTATTTAACGACGCTTTTTAAGTAGCTCAGACTATATAGCGTCGAATGTGAGGATAATAGTGAATTGAAAGGAAGTGGTCGTGGCGTGATTTAAGGTACTATCCCGGCAGTTGCCTGGGGGACTGAGGAAAACCACGACCCCCCCCGTGAGGATAGCCGATCTCAGGGACGTGTTTATCAGATAATATAGCATCAAATGATAGGATGATGTATGAATTAAAGAATATGAAATAAAGCAGAAGTAATTAATTTAAGGTACTGCCCTGGTGTTTGCATTGTGAGTGTGTGGAAAACTACGACCCCCTTCCCCCTTACAAGACAGGATTCCCTTGTAGTCTCCGTGCTGAGATTTGAACCCAGGACCCCCAAAATACGAAGCATATCTAATCGTTAGGCTGTGGCTTTCTGAAAAGAGGTTTGAAATCAGTCAGAGAACATAATGATGGTCTACACTCAATCCTGGGGGTATTTTAACACTGTCAGATTGTGTATCCAAGGTCACGAATTACGGGATGCAGAGTTCCTGTGCACTGATGTTCTGTCAGCTGTTATATGACCCAGATTGACGCAATTTTGGCCGAAGATGTGGCAACGCGCGTTGAACATTGCCACGCCAAACCCGTAACTGCTTGTCGACCACGGCGGAATTGTCTACACCAGTCTCCACAGTTGTTTTTGTTACACATGCATTTCTGTATACTGCCTGCATCATCCGATAAATCTTCCCCGGCTCGCATCGCCCCCAAAAATTAAAAAGACTTGCAGACTTCCTGCAGTTCGTCCTCGGTATATGATGCCACGTGAGTTTTGCTGGGCGGCTACTGCTGCCATCTGTATTCCGAGGAGCTAGTGTAATACACAGCGTCGGTGACTCAGTCAAGAATGTCATCGTCTGTAAACTCTACGCGTTGCTGGTTTCTTTTTTTTCTGCAGGACTCTGACTGGTAAACAATTATGAAATTATAATATGATAATTTTATTCTCTGACGTCCGTAAGTGGGCTTAAGAGCCGAGGGAGATTTCTATAGTCGATACAAATGTACGGTTTATTCAACCAAAGCTATTTTATGTAGTGTTATCAAAAACAACTTTGGTTGGTGATCAATTTCTCCACAGATTAAGTTATTTATCTGAAACCGATTGTTGATATGAGGAAGCTTTGTCCACTATTTAAAACTACGTGCTTCTCCACCTAATTAAGAAAAAGACGAAGTGAGAATAATAATATATAAAATATTGTTATCATCAGAAAAACCTCCTTTTTGCACCACGTAAAATTAAATATTTAATTTCATCAGTTGAACATTGGAAACTAGGTGGTTATGTAGATTTTTTCGAAACTGCTTATTAATACTCAGCACAATGTTTTAAAGTTTCAATATTTCTCGTCTTCTACAGTTTGTTACCACAGACATGTATGTAGAGGAAAGCCATTTGAGAACCATATAACTGCTGCAAAATCAACCTTTTGCATTAATGTCCATACGAAGTTTAATGAAAAGCCGTCAAGTCGTTTTCAACTTCTTGGGCTTGTAGAAACGGACGAATGAAGACTTCATTGGACAGGTATAGAAAGGTCAGTGTTGCGCATGCGTAGGGAATCGGGATTTGCTGTCATCGTTTCACCACATGAATTTTCACACCCACCGCTTTGGTATTGTGGACTTTAGAAAGTTAGAAAATGAGTGTGGTTTATTCTCATATGACATGACGTCAGAACGAAATTTAATCAATTTCCGTAACGTCGTTCTCAAGTTAGTAATTGCGCAGCCCTGACCGATGTCACTGATGGTCAAGTTCGGTCAGGTCAGGTTAGGTTAGGTTAGTGATGCGCATGTTCAAGTGATCGTTTGTAGTGGCTTCATCGTCGTCCTACCTCACGACTTTGTGCGTGTGAACCACGTTGGTAATTAGGGGTGATGTGGTGTGGCCTTCGTTTTCATAATCTCCATTCCAAAGTCGATAAAAATCCTATTGTTCACTCCCGAGATATTGTATGGGTCAATGATGCAACAGACAGACAAGAATAGTGTGAATGTGGTCTTTGCTAACGCTAAAGCGCCGGTAGTGCCAAAATCATTTCACTCTAATACTAAAGTGAGTAAAATTATAATTTTGTGTGTTTCCCGATTAATACGGTGTTGTTTTTTTAATATAATTTTGCAGGAATTTTTATTTTTAAGTGTAGGATGGAACATGGAATTTTATACCTTGTAATTATTTTGACGGGTTTCGCAGTTCCTTTGTTTACGTGGAAGTTGCATGGAGTACAATAATTTTCCTTACCATTTGATAGCCGTCTTTAAATAATAAATTTAACAGTTATGGATCATCGTAGGTGGTGCTTGATGCTGTGGATTGCCACGTAATGGTTTGTTATTAACTCTGAACTTCCTAGTTTTAGGCCGTCTGTGATTTTACGTGACGCCATGTGCTGAAGATATACGTAGCTTGACAAATTCTGTCGCTGATATACTTCATAATCTTGACGATCATTCCGTTACTCATCAGAGGCAGACTGCGTTGGGTTTAAAAGTGGGTAATACAAGTGTGTTAATGTTTTCTCAATACGTGAAATGCATTTCACGTTTATAATGGATTAACAAAGAATGTAGCCTTAAAGGAAGCTTCAAGTTCGTATTTTCATCAACGAAATTATTCTTTCCTCGTATGTGCAGACACCAGGGGACTTTGGTAAAAGTTTTTAACAACCATGAGGACATTAATTTTGAATGTCGGCTTGTCACATTATGACAGCCAAGGGATAATATACTTTGTGCAAGATGTTATTTTTTGAGGTTATGTACATTTTATGACTATTATAAATTATAATTTCTAATTTTCAGGATTCAAGCAGTTCTTCAATGGCAGTACAGAAGCAATATTTCACGTTGAACACGGGGCAGAAAATGCCGATGGTTGGATGTAAGAATAAGGTTAACTATGTAAATAATAATTAGTTAAAGTGTGATAATCGTGGGTGTCGTGTGGTTTCACGGTTAAGTTTATTATGATATGTCTGAATTTCTGGCATGGCAGTTGAATTTTTGTGGCATTACAACACTTGGGCACTTGAAATGTTGCATTATCTGATTACAGGTTGGCGTGCAGATTATATGAATTTAGTGCCATTCTTTTCTCTTCAGTAGGTACATACAGGATTCATGGACAAAGTGTAATATATCGAGTTATTGAGGCGGGGTTGAAGGCTGGCTACAGAGCATTTGGTAGGTACAACCACCATGCAATCACCCCATATTGGGTGTCTGCGGCTGCTTATTCAATATTTACCCAGCTAACCCCTAGAACTGGAGGCTCCGTCCACAATGTGAGGGTATGCCATGCCGTGTTGACAGGGAACTACCAAACATTTCAGAAATAACAAATGCTTCAGTATTCATGGTGCTTGTGCCCAAATTGCTGTCATGTATTATGTAGTTTTGGAAAATTACGCGCATTTATTTTAAGTGTTGTGTTTAAAAAACTTTGGACATAAACACGAGGCACAAGGGGGAAAATTTTGAATGAACGGAAATGTCTGCGTGATAACTGAAAATTTTCAAGCAAGGTTTTTTTGCATCGAAAACTTCAAAATTATGATTATTGATGTTTGTCAAATCAGTGTTCAACACAAATTATGCAAACACACAGTTACATTTGTTCGTTCCAGATACAGCGGCTGTTTATCGAAATGAAGAGGCGATAGGGTTGGCTTTAAAGACCCTGCTACCCAAATTTAGCCTCTCCAGGGAGGATATATTCTTAACAACGAAACTTGGTAATTGAAGTTTGTATTAAATGTTTTTCTTTCTCAAGGAAAAATTAGATTAAGGAGTTGATCACCATGCTGTCCGTGTATGCGTGTCGCTTTCTCAACTTTCAAACCAAGTGACTGATTTTCACAAAACTTGGCATGAAAATTATACAATTGGAGAACACATAACACTAATAATTTTTTTATTCCATGTAATCTGTAATGAAACAGATAGATTTGTGATCAAGGCGGAGATGACACTAGTGTTATTAAATATAGGTAGCTTGAATGGAATAGAATAAGTAATTATTTAGTTTAATGTAAAAAAAATAACATAGTAGCCATTCATGAACTTTCTTTAGCTTCTAGTTTGACAGCGATAAGTAATGAACCATCAGACATTAGGCGTGAGGACTGGAGCTGCTGTTTAGTCGGTGTGACGGACTGCTAGTGCCTCCAGAATGCTATAACACAATGTCATCACCTTAAAATGGAAGCACAAGTTTCATCTTATCACCATTAAAGTTTAAAGGCTTTGAGCATGTGAAATTAATTGCGTTATTTCTAGATCCTATCATAATAATTCTGATTTTACAGATCCAAGCGACCATGGAAAGGGAACGACTACTAAGGCTGTGAAAGATTCATTAAAGAAACTGGGCACTTCGTATTTGGATCTATATCTGATTCACTGGCCAGGTGTGTCAAGATTACCGGTACACAGCCCTGATAACGCGTTAATTCGTTCAAACACTTGGCATGAATTGGTATCACTGCATCGACAAGGGGTTCTGCGTGCCATCGGGATATCAAACTACACCGTACAGCATCTAAAGGAGCTTATTAAAAATTCTCATGGTGTCATTCCAGCTGTTAATCAGGTATATTAATTTAAAATTCAGGTAAATTATATATACATAAATTATGGTAGGTGGAATAGAATGGGCATCACCCAGAGCCTGCGGTAAAACAAAATTTATCCATTGCTGGTGATAATTTAAAAATTTACTGAAATCTCGAGGACTTGAAAATATAGCGGTGGTCCGAAGCGGAATAAGATCATGGAAGATGCATTTATGAATGAACCTAACCTAACCTAACCAAACCAAACCAAACCAAACCAAACCAAACCTAACCTAACCTAACCTCACCTCACTCTCTTCATTATGTGATCAGATACGTGTTCCACGTTGAAATTCTTTTCTAGGTTGAATATCATCCCCACTATAAACAACCCGAATTATTGAAGCTGTGCCAAGATAAGGGTGTTTTGCTGCAAGCTTATTGCTCGCTGGGCGGCTCTTCAGATCGTCGCCTGTTAGAAGATGCTACGGTAGGAATAGTCGCCAAGAAACTTTGTCGATCTCCCGCACAGATTCTGTTACGCTGGGCCTTACAACAGGGCATCGGTGAGTCCTGAACTTATTACATATTTGATGACCTTTGTGCAGACCCAAAGCGTTTTCAGTATCGTGCTTTTAATCCAGTTTATATCTTACTAATGTTTACGTCATCAAGGCTGTTCTTTGTTCTCTTGTGTTTAATAATCTGGCACTGGGAAAACTGCGTTGACGTTGAAAAGGGGTATTTGCATAAGTGAAATGATAAATGCATGCAGAATTTTAAATGATGAATGCCATAGAAAAAGACTAATTCTTAATGCATCTAATACATACATAAGCAGAACTTGAGACTGTCGTAAAGCCGCTACTTAAGGTTGTTATTTGAGATGATAGATTTGAACACTAAACTGAGGAAAACCTTGATAGCATGAAAGTTAAGTGTCGTAATTTGTTGCTGACATTAAAAACTGAATAATAAGTAAAGGGAAATCTTATAGAAGGAACATTAAATATGAATTTCAATATATTTATTGCAAAGTTTGAATTGAAGAAGTAATCTTGTTGTATTGTGGTTTTGTTTCAGGTGTCATTCCAAAATCTGTGAGCCCTGACCACGTTTCTGATAATATGAAGCTAGATTTTATTATCCCTGATAGCGATATGAACGCACTAAATAATATACCAATTGTGGAAAAGTACGCTTGGGACCCGACACCAGTGGTGTAACTGCGTTACTTTATCGCAATGGAAAGTGTTTGCACGGATTAGACGTCCCTTCCTTTATGATAAACTGAAGGATGAGTCATAATTTTTGTAAATTTCAACTTTCTGTCTTACCTCGTCACGTGGTGTTCCGTGCAGGGCGCAGACAATGGTCGACAGAGAGTTTAATGAAATAAAGCTGCCTATTCACATTTTATTCACGTAAATGAAATCCACACTAAAGAGTAAAGAAATGGAAAGTGTGTGGTGCAGTATAGAAATGAAGAAGGCAGATAACTTTGCTAATGAGATAGCTGAAGCATGTTATTCCAAATATATAAGCCTCCCCAAAACAGGCAAACCTAATGAAGAAAGAGAGTGGACGCATCTGGCTGGTATCGTAAAGGTAGAGGGATGGCAGAAAGACGTCAGTTGTTCGAGTTATGTGTCGATGGATGTAGTTGCATTAGGCACAGGTTCTAAATGTATTGGGAAGTCCAAAATGAGTCCATCGGGGGATATTCTGAACGATGGCCATGCGGAAGTAATGGCTCGGAGGGGTCTTCTTCGATACCTGTACGATCAGATACTTGAGACTTACCGAACAGGTTCGTCAGAAGTTTTCAAATGTTTTTCTGGTGGCAAATGTTTTATTAAAGATAACGTTACATTCCATTTTTTCGCAAGTCACACACCTTGTGGGGATGCGTCAATTATTCCAAAAGTTTCTTTGTATAAGGATGAAGTGGGTCGTTGCTTGAAACGCAGCACCGAAGAATCACTATTTGATAGTAAACAGGCCGAGGGAAATTTAAATGAAAATTCTGTCGTGGTTCCAACACGAAACTTGTGTTGTGATTTCAGTTGTGCAAATTTGCAGTGTGAAATGATGTTACAGAGGGCGGAAGGAAAGAAACGTAACAGCAACGCAGGAGTAGTTAGTAATAAAAGGAAATATCACAGTGAAGAAGATAGTTTTAAAAGTAAATTGAGTTCTGGAAGAGCTAATATATGTGGTGGTAGCAATCAGAGGGCAAGAGTAAACTATCGAGAAGAGCTAGTAAAAACCAACACGGAGGAAGTTGTTATTAGTGACATCTATAGAACGGGGGCAAAGTGTCTTCCACTTGAATCACTTCAAGATCCGCACGTGCCAGGAACAGACTACCATGTTGTCGGAGCTTTGAGGACGAAGCCTGGTCGTGGTGACCCAACGCAGTCTCTCTCATGCAGTGATAAGCTTGCGAGATGGAATGTGGTTGGTCTGCAAGGAGCTTTATTGTCTCTTCTCGTAAACGAACCCATTTACTTTAAGTCATTGGTTATCGGTGGGGGATGTCCGTTTTCAAAGGCATCTCTGAAGAGAGCTGTAATTGGACGTCTGATGTGTGGAAACAACGGAGAAAATAATTCATCGTACGATGAGATAGTTCAAGCTTCCGCAATCGGTGACAGTATTTCATTACCGTCAGAATATGCAGTTGTTAATCCGTTGATTTTACGGTCGGCTTTGCCCTTTAAACATGCCCAAACACCTGGTGGGAAGAAACAGCCGTGTCCGTCCAGTATTGTATGGTGTAAGGTGCCGGAAAGGTAAGTGTTTAGACGTGGAATTAAATTTCAGTATCGAGAAAGAGAAAAATCGGGCAATAGAACAAAGTAATTGAGAGAAAGAACAAAGATTATCCCATGACTTCCTTCCATCTGTTATACTAGTTCAGTTTTTAACCAGGAACGGTTCAAAACCATCTAACCACTGTCACACAAGTCTGGTGAGATCCACGTGTTGTCATAGTATCTTAATGGGTTATGACGATGGAAATTTATATGGGGCTCTTCGTTGACCGAGTTCATATTATGATCAGAATATCTCCCCTACCCTCTCAAAACATAGAGGGGAGTACAGAAATATGTCAGCAACAGTGAAAAATGATGTACTTCCAAAAATTACATGGTAAAGGAAGTGGAATTTCAGGTTCCCTTGGCAATGAGTGTGAAAATTGCAGCCGTGTAAGATATTGCGCCTTTTAGTCGACATTTCTGAGGTCTGTATCGCCTCCGTCATCAGGGCGATGAGTAAACTATACATGGAACAGTGGTTGGTAGAATAGCAGCGGGCCAGATGAGGTCGAAAGTTGGCTATACCAGTGGATGAGGGGGAGGATTGAGGTGAGGACACAGTGAGGGAGCAGATGGAAGGGTACGGGTGACGACATAGCAATTTCAGTTTAGTACTTGGAAAATTTAAGAAGCATTGTGTGAATTTTATTTTTATTTTGCATGTATACTGTATTTGGTGTCTGACGCTGAACGGGTTAAATATTGTGTTTTATTATCATTTTTCTGTGCAGGGCCGTAGAAGTGGCTGTAGAAGGAAAGAAGCAAGGCGTAACAAAGAAAGTTGCCCTCACGTCTGCAGGCCGACTTCTCGTTTGCAAGAGAGAACTTCTTCAGCAGTTCGTGAATGTGGCGTCATCGATGCCCGATCCTACCTTCCACCTGCCCTCTCTTTTGAAGTTACGTGATGTTACAAGCGACGTTACGGAGATCAAACAGTGTTTAATTCAGATGCCTTACAAGCAGCTGAAAAATTTGTCACAAGACTACAAGCAAGCATGGAATGCAGTGAGAGCCGTCTGTTTTCCGTCATGGATAACAAAATGCGATTCGCTTTCTTCCTTCAGTCTCGCCAATTAGAGGGGCTGTTTTCTTTCCTGTACATCAACAGGCATGATGCTATTGAAATGAGCTGTGTTCTAGTAAGGTAGTTAAAAGAAATTGGTTTTTCATTCAATTAATCTGTTTTACGTTACGTTTCATCTTCAGAATGGACGAAGAGCTGTCCGTTACAGCGTCGATTACCCTACTAATTCTCGTCAAGCTGAAGATTCATGCAGTAACAGCATAAATGAGAAATGTTGATAAATGCAAGAATCCAACTCCAGCACGAAGGCTTAGTCATTTACGAAGCTATGAACCACCAACGATCGGAAGTAGAGGAAGTTACGAGCGAGGACGATTCATGTGAAATTATTTAAATAAGAAGTGACACGTTTTATATCCAGTCTAATGTCTTTATTTTCTGTGTAAAGTATTAACAAATAATGTCTTTGTAAGCAAACTTACGGAACTTGACAATTGTGACGATAATCGTGTGTGAACATACTAAATAATACGGAGCTATTCTTCGCCCCCACAAAGTTTGAGAGTTATGAGCGAACAGTCACCATTCTTCCCTCCACTCTGGTAAACATGAGCTTCAGCAGAAAAATTGACATTTTTACCGGGGTTCGATCCCCGACGGGATTTTTCCTCTAGCTTCTGCATCCAGACTGGTTCTGGGGTCCACCCAGCCTCCTATCCGATGGGTACCAGGGTCCTTTTCCCGGGATAAAGCCCGGCTTGGGCGTGATGCTGAGGTCAAGCATGAGTAGGAGCTACACTGCCTCTCCCCCCAAGCGCCTACATGGTGTATATTGGGACAGCTTTACTTTTACTTTATAGTAATGTTACTACTACTTATGGAAACGTGTCTGCTTGTAAAATATTACTTAGGAGGATTTGAGGTTTCTACGACAGCGAGTCTGAAGATGGCTCGTCTTCTGGGTCGTTGCACCGTGCAGTCTGGCAGAAGTTTACCGACGTTTCAGAGGTGCTCCATCATCAGAGCAATGGAGGCAGCATTTACCTCTAAAATGGCGGTATACTTCTACCAGAGTACGCGTGATACAACCCAGAAGATGGCCGTCTTTGTAATTACCGCTGCGAGAATCTCAGATCTTAACTACCTCACATTTTGTGTCGTTTTTGAAGACGCACGCAAATGTTGAGGACTTTGTATTTGTATCGACGAAGAAAAATATTTTGTACCACGGATTTGACTGCGTTGTCTTGTTACATGATATTGTGTAACACTGAGATGAAGCAAATCTTATACAATTTACAGCTCTTGTCATTTTTTCTTTCCTTCATCCCTGGAACTACCGCCCACTCTTGCGTCGTCTATTGGGGATGTCGCGGAACACGAACCTCTAACCTGTATCCCTTCACAGCGGATAGAATACCAGTTTTGCTTGTTGTGTCACAAATAGCATGTTAAGTTGTGAGGAGAGACCGATGTTCTCGATTCTGACCAGTTGCGCTGTCGCTCGCGTGGGCCCTCGAGATACAACCGCCGTCCCCGACACACGCATCACTTGCGGTTCGGGCTTCCTCATTTTATTTGTGGTATCCAGTGTCATGTGACAAGTCACATCAATGTGGATGTACTTGATGACTGTGGTACCACCTGAGTCTTTCACCTGTCGGAAACCAGAGAGAGATTGCAAGTTAGTGAAGGAAATAGCATAATGAAGCACTTCACAGTCTGTGAACTCTTTAATTCTTTATCATTATGGTCATTAATCATTAACGAGGTGGACAAGATATGTAGCATTCATGGGGAAACACATTTAGCTGCACACTTCTGCTTCAGAGACCTCTAGAAAGTGCACTCAAATCTAGGCGTGAGGAGGACGATGTTAGACGTAACCTTACAGAAATATTCTGGGAACATATGGAAGTGAAATGACTAGCTGAGTAACTACCAGCTCCTCAAAAAAGACTCTACCACATAACCGAATGCCACTTTTTGGGTCATATTCATGAGCTATGGGTTCTGATCTTAGCCTGGAAATTGACTACTAAATCAGGAAAAAATTTGTGGGCACGTGGAGATAATTGCATACATTACAAGTAA